ATAGCTCAATGGACTACGTATATTTTGTATATTTGCTTCCGCAGCCCTTAATTATATGTTATTCTGTTAAGAGGCCTTTGGTAATTCAAGGATTACTGGCCGATTACGACACTAAACCTATAGAAGTGGGTTTGGGTCGTGACACAATTCAAGGCATCGTGTCCATTGATTAGATAGTAAGTCCGATAGGTTATCACTAGGGAGGTTCAAAGCCAAAAGCTACCTGATGTAGGATGTTTTCATTTTATATTCTCTCGACAATTTTGCATGTTGTTGTATTTTCGTTGTCATTAAATTCCGTTCATATGTAGATTGTTAGAAATGGTTAAGGAAATTCTGCACAAAAACATAATTTTTAGTCAAACTTTGGACTACAATATGAATAGGACACAAGTACTGGTTATGGCGGATATGGGTGGTAACACGTTCTATGTCGCATTGTGATTTACATAGTATATTTGGTTGTTCAAAACCATTATCGGGTGAATGAAAAATTGATGCCAAAGTAAGCTCCATGAAAATGATGTTTTGGTGGGTTTCCCAAATTAAAGAAAGGGAAGCTTGTCCCATATTGCTTCACTAGGCTAACATTCTATGGGTTTATAAGCCTTGAGTTTGCATCTTGGGGAAGGCCCCAAGGAGTATCCAAGTTTTGTGGAAGAGTGAGGTTATGGGTAAAGTGAGCTAGACCCATTGGACCCAAAACAAACACACACGCGCGCCATCTATCCGTCCGTTCGGTTGGACTGGGCTTGGGTGCGGATGCGTGGTGTGAGGTTGAGTTGGATTTATCTGACCCATTTTTTGGGGGCAAAAAAATTTGAATTTATTTTTGAAAAATAAATTCTGACCATTTTGAAGAATTCAAATTTCGATTGGAAAATTCAAATTCTAGTGGTTAGGCCTTTGCACCTTTTCAGTCTTTTCTATACAGTTTCCATACCTGTAGCTTCAAACCCGAACAGGTTCATACCTATTTATTATTCACCTGAACAACCACCTTTTGCCTCTATAAATAGTTAGTCCCTCATTTGGATTTTGCAATCAGATTTTCGTTCTTCATTTACTCAAAGTTCCTGCATATTTCTGCATATCTTTTCATCAAGAGAGAAAATATACACAGAGTGTGTTCGTTGTGCGAACAGTTTGTAGTACTACTACTGTTCGTAGTAAATTTCATCTTGGGAGATAGACGTCCATAATTTGTAAGCACCTAAGAGAGGACGAATATGTCTTAAGGATACAGTGTTGAACATTGGATTTGATTTAAATTTCTGAGAAAATAATACTATAAGTGATTAGTTTGCTTTCCTATTTTTATTATTTTTCTTTTTCAGATTTTGTTTTGTTTCTGTAACAAAATAAGAATTTGTTTTCTTGTTTTTTATATTTTGTTTTGTTTTTTGTAAACAAACATACTCTCTTCTTTCTTAATCCATTCTTCGAATACAGTGAAAATTGCCTAACAAGAACACAGTGGATCCATTGAATTTCTCAAAACACAGTGGATTGTTCAATTTATTTATTTATTTATTTTTATAGTTCTTGATTGTTCAATTGAGAACACAGTGGAATGTTGTTTTTGTAAGAAATTTTTTTCTATTCCAAATTGTTTTTAGTTTTTGTTTTTGGTAGTTGTTGTTGATTGTTGTTTTTGTGTGTGTGTGTGTGTGTGTGTGTGTGTGTTCTTTCTTTATTTATTTTTTAGCTTTGACCTTAGATATGTGTTAGATCTGTTGTTGATGAAGATGATGATGATCTTCTTCTTTTTTTCTTTTTCTTTTTTTCAACAGATCACTCTTTGAAAACATGATTGACCATTGGACCTTCATTAGTTAATTGCAGGTACATTGAAAACAAGAGTGATCATTGGACCTTCATTAGTTAAATTTCAAGAATGTTCTCTAGTTTTTTTAGATCTGAGTTTGTTTCTCTATTTTTTTTTTAAATATAATTGAACAGATCACAAGAGTCTCTATCTCTTCTTCGTCTCTCTCTATCTTTCATCTCTCTCTATACCTCCTTATCTATTGTTGTCTTTCTCTCTGAATCTCTCTCAATCTGTTGTTGTTGTTATTGTTGTTGTTGATAGACAAATCTATTTGAATAGATAAAAAAATGAATAGATAGAAAATTTTAACAGATAAAAAATTTCAACAGTTGGTAAAAAAATTTGAATATATAGAAATTTCAACAAATAAAAATTTTAAACAGATAAAAAAATTTGAACAGATAGGAATTTAACAGATAAAAAATTTCAACTAATAAAAAATAATTTCAACAGATATTCAATGAAAACTCAAACAGATAAAAAAAGTCAAGGGATAAAATTGAAAACAAAATATTCTCTACGACTTCTAACCAAACTATTTTATAAAGTATAGACATCTCATCAACAACAACAACAAAAAAAAAAAAAAAATCTCTTAGACCCAATATTTATACACTCTTTATATTGAATTTATCACCAATTAACCCAAAATAAATTTAAAAAATAATAAAGGATAAGAAATAGGGAGAGTTACTAATAAATCTTTAAAGGATAAGAAATAGGGAGAGTTACTAATAAATCTTATATGTTGGAATTATGTTCCAGTTAGTTTAATAAATTTTTTTTTTTCGTGATCTATTTAATCCTTTTGGATGTGTAATGACTTATCTACCATTATAATCTTTTTAATTGTTGCTGTTTATTGTAGTATTACGTTTGAAAAAAGTACAGTAAAGAGTTTTTTAGTGTGTTACATTGAAGTGTAATGTTTGAAAAAAAAAATTATATGTTATGTTTGATAAAACTATACTAGCAAGTTTTTTTTTTTTTTTTTTTGGGAGTGTTATGTTTGGAGTGGAATGAGCCCTTAATTGTTGTTGTTTGTTAAACTATTATGTTTGGAAAAACTACACTAAGGAATTTTTAATGTATTACATTGAAAAGTACACTAAAGAGTCTTTTTGGAGTATTACGTTTGGAATGTATGGTTTTTTTTTTTTTTTAGAGTATTACATTGAGAATGTTACATTGAACTATTACATTTAAAAAAAGTGCACTACGGAGTGTTTTTTAGAGTGTTCCGTTGGAGTGGCGGAAATGTGATCCAAAAATTGGATCCAACTTCTTGAAGATGGCATCCCCAATAAGAATGGGTAGAAACCTCTGCTAAATTATACCAAAATTCAAAATAGAATCTCACAATAAGATTGTCAAAATAAACGAGACATATTAATATATTAAAAAATTTATAAGACTAACTAGAGTAACTGAAGCAAGAATGTAATTGTGTTGTACTGAGGACGGTTTCTGACTGAAGCAAAACCTCATCTATCTACTTTTATTATGCATGGGGGAGCAAATAAACATACTGTTCGTGAATAGGTTTGAGTTCAGTTTGATAAGGACTCATCCCAACTTAGTTTATTAAATTTTTATTATGTTTAAGTTCAAGTTTAAACTTGTTAAAATTTTAATAAACAAATCTAAACATATTAAAATTCAGTTTATTAGTTGAGTCATTTAACATTTATTTAAACAATAGAATAAACATATTATTTATATATTAAATAATATAAAAATATTTATGAAAAGTAAGATAAATATGTTATTTATATATTTAAACAATATAAATATAAATAATAGCTAATTTATTATATGTAAATAATAGCTAACTATATATAATACATTTATTAGTAGATATTATTATTTTGATAAGATATTGATTTTTTTTAGTATGTTTATATATATTGTATGTATAATTGGGTAATCAAAGTTACAATTGTAAGTTTAGTTTCATATGCAAGTATGAATTTATAATTTCTTTGGCTCGTTAAGGCTTGTAAACAAGTTCGAGCTCGAGTCAAACTTAAGTCAAATTGGCTCAAGCTCGGTTCGTTAAATTTTTATTGGGCTCAAGTTCGAGCTTAAACTTGTTAAAATCTTAATAAATAAGTGCAAACATACTAAAGTTCGGCTCGGCTCGGCTCGTTTGCAACCCCAATTATATAGAGAAAATGACATTTTCTTTTCTTAAACATTTTTTATTGTTCAAACTAAAAAAATAAAAAAATAAAAACTAAAATATGAAAAAAAATTCACTAAAAACAACGAAAATCAATACAAAAAATGCACACAGATTTTTATTCAAATTTTTGTCTATTTTTAGTATTTTTTTAGTATTTTAAATAATTTATTTTACTTTTTAGATGCATGTTGATTATGTGCATCTAAAAAATATTTTTTAAAAAAAATTGATTAAAATATTTTTAAAAAAGCATTAAAAATAAATAAAAACTCATCTAAAAATGATTTTTAAAAAATCAAATCAAACAGATTTTGGTGAGTGACATTTCATTTTAATCTTGCAATTTTATTGACAAATACATAAACATTATTCTTAAATTTTGGTATCTACATAGAGTTGCAACTTGAGTGGTCCAATCTGAACAATTTGAGTCCAGCCTGTAAAAATTTTAGGAGAACAACAAAAATTTAAATTTGATCAAAGGCGTGTCAACCAGAATTAAATTTGATCATGATCCACAATCCGAGCAACTCGAAAAACTTGAATTCTAGTATTGATATATATATATATAAAAACATGAAATATGCATATAAAATATTGATTTTTTCTTGATAATTGGACTAAATCAAGCTAGAATATACTTTATAGGGGATATTGTTCGGGAAAACTGGTTGCGTTTGATAGAGCTTTCTAAATATTATTTGAAAATATAAGTTGTATTTTGAGTTTGTAAGTTTTGAAATTATGATTTGAGTGTGAAAATTTTGTTTCGTGAAAGAGTTTTGAATTGAGTAAGAAATTTTTGATGTGACATATGATATTTGACACAAAAATTTACAACTCATAACCAAATATACAACTCAAAATTCTATTAAAACACATAAAAAATTTTAAAAATTTCGAAAAACATTTTTTTCGAATATATAAAAATTAACATATGTCAATTGCCAAACTATATATATATATATATATATATTTGCACTGTTTTGGTTAATCGGCCGGACGACCGGTGAGACGTCCGATAGGACGTCCGGTGGGACAACCGGTTAATCCAAATTTTCTCGCCTTCAACCGAGTTTTCAAAAGTGCGTGGAATTATGATTTGAAACCCCTAAACAAACATTATATGCAAAATAAACTCTGGAACGTTACCAAACAGAGCCTTTCCTATTGTATTTTCCGTCTGTGATTGTTTTAAATATTTTCAAAACGTACAATATCTTGGTTCAAGAAAACTCAATGTCAACCCAAAATAAATTTTTATTGTTGTTGAATTGGGACAACCTAAATTTAATCCGAACTCTTGGAGATGCACCGAGTCTTGAGCTTGGGTAAACTATTTCAGACTGGAAGCCGGGTTTGCCCGAATTGCTTGATTTGTAAAATGTGGCCATAAAAGAGTAAGATGAATGTAGTTAATAATAAAAAATGTAGGCGTATAGGAGCAAATTCCAAACATCAGGCACTCCAGGAAGGCACCAATGTAAGCAATCCGCATCACGTATAGGATTTGATTGTTCCTCCTTAGACCCCCATATCTTCCTATAGATAGATGGGTGGGCATCTTTTCGATACTCTGAAAGTTGTGTTATGTTAAGCATTTGTACCTTCAAACCTCTTGCTTTTAGTTCATCTATTGTCGCTTCCACTACTCGCATCATTCTAGGGTCTGAATCGATTCCCCAATGTCCTTTTGAAATTGGCTCTGTTTCATTGTTGCACTTTTGGTTTGGAGGCATACCCCATTCTTCAGCCCTGCAATTTAAAAACATGTTTTGATTTAGAGTTTAGGATTGCATTAAATGCACTATCACTTTTTTTCCTTTCTTTTTTGCATTTTTATTCTTGTTTAAATTTGAGGGGGGAAAAGGTTTGATACGTGAATTTACAAGTTAAGAACTAATTTAATTTGGGTTTGGTTTATAATTATCTTACCTCTCGTGAGTGGGTGACATGCTTGTGAAGAACAATTTGGTCTTGGTACGGTTGATATGAATGTCTAACCAATCTGACCATGTTCTTAGAGCCAGCTCGTACGATCGTAACATCTCTACTTCTTTGTAGATTCCGTCAGAGCTTCCAAATGATCCCCACCTAATAATCATTGTTTCCAAATTGAATTTGCATGCTATTAATAGGTCCAATCTAAAAATTTGATAAAAAAAAAATGATTTTAGGTTCCGAAAAATGTACTTACAAAACCTTCAATTTAGGCCTTCTCCACCAAATGTAAGAATTAAATACCAATATGTCTGCATCAGTCCAGTATCTAGCATGCTTTTCAATTGCTTGTACTCTGACAATCCGATCAGGTATACGATGGTTGATAAAATCATCAGAGTTTGATTCCACAAGCAATGGAGCCCAATAGAAATCAATCGAGGCATTATATTCCTTGATTGCATTAAAACATGAAAAGGCCATTGCAGTACAAGTAATAATTTCATATAACAGACTTAATAAAATTTATATATAGTTATTGAAAACAGCAGAGCTGGAAAAAGAAATTCTTAACTCACAATGGCCTTGAAGGAGATTAATGAGCCATTGATATTCATGGATTTGAGTGAGGGAGGAATTGGTGACTGAACCAAACAGACCATTGAAGCCCATTGGTTCCGGTTCAATGAATCCCCAACAAATACAAGCTTTTTCCCCCTTAGTTCCTCCAACATTGGTATGGCATTGAACCTTGATAACAACAAAAAAGAGGAAAAAGAAAGACCTTATATTCATGTGTTCATGTATGCATGTTTCATGTCCGTGTCTGAGTCTATGTCTGTGCACTGTGTACACGCGTGCAAGAGAGAGGACAAAAAAAAAAAAACCAACCTTGGAAGGTCGCAATCGTGAGGTTGCCACCTCCAATGTTGATAATTGAAATCCCTTCTCCCAAACCTCTCGCATGCCATCCCATCATCAATAAATGAACATTCTAGCTCTTTGTATAGAGGGAAAGACTTATCATCATATACCCATTTGCCCGAAAACAAGTTGCAGCCTTGCAATGAGTCCCCGGAGCCATTTTTGCTCACCACCTGATGACCATTCCTCAGCATTTTGTTCTCTATGCTTGCTTCCTGATGATCTTCCACCAGCAATTTGTTCACTCTAGTTGTGTAAAACACCGAAATGATGAATACCGCGACAAGGACTGCTACAAGGGAATGGAAGCTGCAGCTGATTCGCCATGTTCCAGGACCTATGTGAGTGTGTTTGCCACTCATCTTCTTCCTTGGTGCTAGCAGATCAGCTTCATTCTGATCAGGTTTTGAACAAAATCCACATCTAGGATATGCGTATTTGGGTGGTGTGTTTAATATTATAATTAACAATAAGTTCACACTATTAGGACTTAAAATGTGGTAGCTAATTAATCCTGAGTAATGTTAAGTATCATAAAAAAAATATCATGAAAGTGATCCTGAAATATTCTTCACGGTTAGATTACACATATAAAAAAACATCACACACTAATCAAAGGAAGAAAAATCTTCATGAAAGATTTTATGATATTTTTTCATGATTCCTAATATTATTCATTAATCCCACCTTTGAAGCCAGGTTCTAAGGACAAAGCCCATTGTTTGTTGTGTGAAATTGATTTATTATTTTAGAGTACTCTGAGCTAATCAATAACTTTAGAGCATGTTTAGCGGTGTGATATTTTTTAGTATACTTTATACAGATTTGCAATAACATAAATTTTACATAAGGAATTTCGGGGTTGATGTCATCCAAGTTTTCCTTTTACAGGCCTCAATTTCAGTTTCTGCACATAAAAGACCAAAACTTGCCAATTAATCTTCTGTGTTCACCGACAAAACTCTACTATTGTCGAAGCAAAGTACAATCTTTTAAAGCATTAGACATGTATTTTGTAACAAAAAACAAGAATGATTCATCCCATTAATTTTAGAGCATTAATTGACCACTAATGAGGTGAAAATTTAAAAAAAAAAAAAAAACTTTAAACCAAAATATCACATCAGTAAGTGAGACCCACTCTCTAGAGCTCCTTTAGACCTCCCAAATATTTTTCAACAAAAAATTAGTTATGTCTGCAAAATAAGAGAACCCTTATCACAGTTGCAATTTTTAAATTTTTTTTTTTAAAATATAGTAGCTTAAAGTAGTTATGTCCTCAAAATAAGAGAACCCTTATCACAGTTGCAATTTTAGAATTTTTTAAAAAAAAATAAAGTAGCTTTATTTACTTTATTTTATTAATTAATTAATTTTTTTAAACAGGCTTTACTTGATTATGTTGTTCCATGAGATAACAAGGTTATTTTATATATATATATATATAAAATTAAAAAAAAAAAATCAAATATCCAGTAACACCCGAGTATCAAATTTATGTATTTAACTGAAATTAAAAATTATAAAAAAAAGAGTTTAAATTATACGTCGATAGTGGTATTATCATATTCAACTATTTGCACCGGAAAAATATATATTCAACTATTAAATGCTAATTAACACTCTTCGCCCCGAAGGATTAAAAAATAAAAACCTTAAAGCGAGTGCTTGACTTTCTCCAAATCGAAGATTCTCTCGTGAAAGCAACATTGGACATCGTGAACACAGTTTCTTCTTTACTTTCTCCCAGTGAGAGAATCATATTTATTACCTGTTTTATTCACATGCTGGCAGGCACTACTTTAATTTGCTTTTTATAATAAGTATTTTGCTTCTATATATTCTTCGAATGTATAAATTAAATTATAATTAGAAGTTTTGTTGTCTATGTGAATCAATTAGATATGACCCTTACCCATTAAGGGTCCAGCTCTGTTCTAATTTAGAAACAGATTGGACGGTTCTCTTGGGTTGCAGTAGGTCCGACTCGGAACACGATAATTTAAAATATTTAATGTATAAAAATCGTTGAATATATCATATCTGTAAAAAAATTACGTTAATCAAATATCGATAGCCTCTTGATCTTCTTTCATTTGTGTCTACGATTTATTTTTAAAATCATAATTGTTGTTGAAAAAATACAGGTTGATTAAAGGCTATTGATATCCGATTAACATGACTTTTTACAGAAATGATGTATTCAGTAAGATTTACACATGAACAATTTGAATTATTAAAATAGATCTAAAATTGGGTCCACCACGACCTAACAATATCATCCAATCTAATTTCGTACAGGAGAAAAAGTTGAGGCCATCTATCAAAACAATTCTACAAGGTAATTGTAACTCCTCCCAGCAATTCTCAGCGTGATCCAATTTCAATTTACATCAATCCACAAGTTAAATTTATATAATAATAAATATAGATATAGCATAAAGTTTTTAAATTTTGAATTTAACTTCAAAAAAAACTTCTCTCTCGTCAGAAAAGATATTAAATTATGTTGTTGGGTTCCTATGGGCCTATCACAAGATCCCCTTTAATAATCTAGTCAATTTACTTTTAAAAGTTGTAATGAATAATTCACATAAAATAAACCATAAACAAAAATAATAAAATAAATCCTAAACCCCTTTTTTTAAATAATAACAAAACAAAAAAAATCTCTTTCTTGTCTGATTTAACATTTGGTATTATCATGAAAAATTTATCTATAAATTCCATCTTGAAAAATGATCACTACAAGAAATTGCACTTTCGGCGATTAAATTTTTAGTCGCCAAAAGTAAAGTTTTAGTCGCTGAAATATTTTCCCGACTAAATATTTTGGTCGTTGGATTTGTCGTAGGAAGATTGTTGGGGAAGGTATTGGCGACTAAAAAAAAGTTAGTCGCCAAAAGTCCTACAAAATGGCAACTAACGTTTTAGTAGGCAAAAGTAAAAGGTATTCGCGACAAAATAGCTTTAGTCGCTGATGAGGCAAATTGGTGACTAAACTATTAGTCGCCCAAAGGATACTAATTTAATTTAAATCACATCTTCAGCTACTAAATTTTTTGTCGCCAAAACTTCAAGTATCTACGGAGACCAAACTTTTAGTCGCCAATAGTGTTGTTTTAGCTACTAAATGTTTAGTCGCGGAAAGTTCGATTTCTTGTTTAGCTACTACACAGTTTAGTCAGCGAAAGTGTAATTTTTTTTAGCTACCAAAGGTTTTGTCGCCTATGATATAATTATTATGTTTTTGGCGGCTAAATTTTTAGTCGCCAAAAGTGTTTTTCTTTTTATCTACTAAATAATTAGTCGCCTAAATTGTTTTCAATTCTTTTTTGCTACTAAATATTTAGTCACCAAAAGATTTAATTCTTTTTTCGCTATTAACTTTTTAGTCACAAATATTTAACTCCATTTTTGGCTACCAATTGTTTTGTCGCCAAAAACATCATTTTATGTTTTCATTTTTTTTTTCATTTTAATATATTTTTCCACAACCTGTATGTATCTATCGCAACCTGTAATAGGTATACAAACAAAACAATATGTATATATTATCACCTATTCCATAGCATATTTACTTACAACCATCAAACAAAAAAGAATACCTTTTAATGTAAATTAGTCAGCGAAAGTGTAATTTTTTTTAGCTACCAAAGGTTTTGTCGCCTATGATATAATTATTATGTTTTTGGCGACTAAATTTTTAGTCGCCAAAAGTGTTTTTCTTTTTATCTACTAAATAATTAGTCGCCTAAATTGTTTTCAATTCTTTTTGGCTACTAAATATTTAGTCACCAAAAGATTTAATTCTTTTTTCGCTACTAACTTTTTAGTCACAAATATTTAACTCCATTTTTTGCTACCAATTGTTTTGTCGCCAAAAACATCATTTTATGTTTTCATTTTTTTTTTCATTTTAATATATTTTTCCACAACCTATATGTATCTATCGCAACCTGTAATAGGTATACAAACAAAACAATATGTATATATTATCACCTATTCCATAGCATATTTACTTACAACCATCAAACAAAAAAGAATACCTTTTAATGTAAACTTATATACAAACCAACTATATATATTCTAATTACAAATAATAACGTCATACATAACAAATACATTATCAAAACAATGTCTTCCGTACGCAAAAAATATTTTTACTATACTATGCATTGTAATGACCATTTGGCATGGTACAAATTACCATAGTAATATGTACCACAACAAAAGGTAATCTACATATACCACGGCAATAAAAACAAGTTTCATGTGAAAAGTATTATGTACCCCGCCAAAAATTATATGTACAATTCATCCAAATTTCACACAAAAAGAAGATGATGACAGAAAACTTCCCAACTGTTCAAAGTGTGAATTATCCTCCGTAAGAAAAAAAAAAAATGAAAGATCCACATATCAATGCCAAAAGTCATTTACAAAACAAAAATTACACCCATTAGTTCCATTGTAAACAAAAATTACAGCCATCTACAAAACAAAAATTGCAAGGATGTCAATTGTAATTGAAATTGTATTTAAATATAGTTTGAAATAAGAAAGTAATGGTTAAAATTTTTTTACCTCTCAAACTAGGACACATAAAATGAATTTTAAAAAATGGGGAGTTGGAAACATAAAATAAGATGGAGAGAGTATTATAAAATTTTAATTATCACTTTTGTGGACAAAACATCTATTTTTCTTGCATCCTAATTTGCATTATTCTAAACAGAGAATAATGTTTTGGTGTTTCCCACTTTTGAAGTCTTGTCAATTTTCAATTTTCCTCAAAATACAATTGTCTCAATTAAATTATTTAGATTATTGCTTATGTAAGTTGCTTTATTGGGTTTGTAATAAACTATATTTTTTAACTTGAGCTCCTATTTTGTTGCAAATAGAGAGAAGTTGGGAATTAGTAACTATGAAGAAGGAAAAAGGATGTTCCAACTCCAGAAAGAACAAACTGACCTTATAATCAAACTCTTGCGGTCATTTTCTATTCCAGGATGGAGGTGAAGTTAGAAATATTTATATCTCAAACCACCAATAAGTGCAGAAAATAAATTCAAAGCCTTCTATTTTGTTACTTGCTTCATGTCTTCATTTGTTAGAGATTCTCTTGTTTGTAGGTTTCTGCCAACAAAGACAAACAGGAAGATAAAAACAAACTGTGAAGACATGACTCATTTACACCCCTAAACATCCACTGAGGCTGGTGCCATAAGTATGATTTCTAAGTTGGCAACAACTGCAACCACTAACCATCACTGAAACAAGAGCTAGTTTCTATGACTTTTATAGAATTAAATGTTAAAGATGATTTATTGTAGTGATACATAATATTGAAATAACTTTTAAATTTTGATAGGTTTTCTTTCTTTTCTTTTTTTCTTTTTTTACAAAATCAAATTAATTCTTGATTTAACCCAATAACTTTCCTTACTATTGGCTCCTCTCTAGACAAAAATTGACCTCCTGGAGGGAATGGTAAGTTATTCAAATTTAACTTAGAAATTAATAAACTTTAATATATGAGAAAATATCATTTTATCTCTCAAATTATTATTCAAAAATCAATTTAACTCTTATTTTTTTTAATAATATCAATTTTACACTTAAACTTTTTGACTTTGGATCATTTCAATTTTATCCATGTTATTAGCAGCCGTTTAT